TTTATACACTATTTATTGCTTTACTTTTATAGATAGGTAAGTATTAAAGATAACTTTATTTTTTGAGCATTGTTGTTTTTTTATTTTTTTGTTTTGAATAATTTATATGAATTGTTTATTTATCGTCACAAGTTTTTCAGCATTATTATTTTTTTTTTGAGCCACATTACAGTACAGTTTTGTTTATTCTTCATCGTACAAATTTTTTTGAACTATGAAATATCCATTTTTAATTTCTTTGCATTGAAATATCAAAATCTTAATTATGACCTAATACTATTATTAATATTTCAAACTAATTGAATTCATAAAAATGTAATAACAAAATACCACAATAATAGAATTTTATAAAATTTAAAGTACATGCATATTAATTGGTTCAGAAGCAATTAAATAAATAAAAAAAAAAAAGTCATATAATTAATTGAAAAATAAATATAATAATATTTTAAAAGAATATATTGATTACTTACCAATACTTAAAGCTGAAACGGATTTGGTTATTTTTTCAACTGATATGATATAGTTAAAATAACGATAATAATACTTAAATTCCGAGAAAATGCCTTTTAAATAAATCACATTACCATTTTTTTCTTTTTCAGTCTTTTTTTGTTGATTTTTCCTTTTCAGTGCGTTTAGTTTTATCACATAATATACTTAATTTCAAAATTAAAATGAAAAATTTATTTATTATTATTTTTGTTTAAAAAAAAAAAGGAAACTAATTTTACTTGTCAACTATAAGTGAACAAAAAAAAATGGTATAAAAAAATGACAAAATGTAATGAATATTTAGAGTATAGCGTAAGCAAAGTGGCGCAACCTTAAACATTTTCAAACCGATTTTGATTAAATGGACAGGTGGAAATGACACAATAGATAAGACGCTCAACTAAATGCAGAAAGAAATAATTAGTAATAGAATGGATTTCTTATGATAGATTTAAAGATATTAAAGAAATATGTAGCTAAGGGTGGATTTAGAACAATAAGTGGATTGATGAACTAATCAAGAAATGGGATGTTGGAAATCAACAATGGCTCAGATAGCATTAAAAAGTTTAATAATAATTTTGATAAATAATTCTTAAATGAGGTAAAATATTTATTAATTCCAGATATGTAAATTTATTTTTTTTTACATTGACGTTTATTGTAAATTAAAAATTATATTATTTAGTCACTTAAGAACACAGAGTGGTGGAATTTTTAAAGCTTCAATTCGAATTTTTAGAATCTTTGGTTATTTCATAAATTCTGACGGGAACAATCTCCGTTGCTTTCAAGTGAATTACCACCTAGATGATTTATTTTTTATAAATTATAATTAATTCATTAAATATTTCAGAAAATTGTATAATAATAATTCAAAAAAGTTTACCACATTTAAGAACTCTTTATTTAAATTTGCAAAATTATCAATCTTTTTTAGTACCACATATTTACTGCGGTTTTTCGTTGATTTTCAATATCCTATTTCTTGCTTCTTTCGATCCACTAGCATAATAAATTGTATCAAAACCACCTTTAGCGCATTTTGCAACTGTAATAAATCTATTATAAGGTATTCATTCTATCAATGCTCAATAGCTGTCTGCATTTAGTTGAACATCCCGAATAACTTATCTATTTTTTATTTCTACTTGTCCATTTATCAAAATTATTTTTGAAATGCATGGATTATACCAATTATGCTATGATTGTATTCTTCAAAAAAAAAAAATCGAAATAAAAAGGGAGAATTTTTTCGCAATTATTCAAAATTACCGAATATGTTGTACGCGATTTAAAATGGACTCTTTTTAAAAATAGCTCAAAATATTTATAAATAAATATGTCATTAAAAAAGAATAGTATCACCGCCATAATACAATATTGGCCTAATTTATAAATATAAATACTTTTACGTTTTAAATATTATTCTTCAATGAATGTGAATCGATTCAAAATTGTTAAAATATAAATTTTAGTTGATGAATAAATATTGCATACTCGAAAATAATTTTTCATAAATGAGAGAAAGTTGATTAATGCCTAGAGATATTGATTGGTCAAAATTTATGCATGATCAAATGACCTGATTCATTTATCGGAATATTAAGAAAGACGTGACTTACTATAATCATTGTTTGATTAATAAATTCATGAAATTCATGAAATTCAATTTTTTCTATTTGGACCAAAAATAAACAGGCAATGAATCCAATTTTTATAATTATCATGAACTCTTTAATATTTAGTTTGCAAATTTAGGTAATAGTTCTAACACAAACTTAATAGTAATAACTGTATTTGGGTTTAGGTGGTACAATAAAATATAAAAACGAAAAATTTGTTTGTTTTTGTTGATCTGTAAATCTGTGAAAGGGTGAAAATGCGTACAAATTTACTAAAAATATATAAGCTTGTCATTATTGTTTAATTCAAAGAATTCTAAATATATGCTTTATTAAAATAAAAGTAGAAAAAATGAAGTTAGTAAAATTAAATATCGAATATTTTATTTATTTTATTATCTCGCAGTTATGGATTATTTCAATTTATTCTTTTCAACCACCACATATATCTACCCATTCAACTGTTTTACTTGATAATAAACTTTATTTTATTGGAGGATATGAACCTCAAACAGATGACTCCGCCTCTTTCTTTTATCTTGATTTAAATCAATCTTTTAGCGTACCATCACCTGCATATATTAGTCTTAAAGCTCCGCCAGTAGGAATCATATGGGCAACTTCTTGTGTAGGAGGAGGAGAAAATAATGATACAATTTTTATATTTGGAGGAATAAATCAGGATAAGAATTCGAAAGCTGAAATTATGGGTAATTTAATTAAAATGTTTAATACAACAAGTCAAGAATGGTCAACTCCAGGAATTGAGGTCTACAAGCGGTTGTTGACACCAAAGGAAATATGTATATGTTTGGAGGAACCTATTTATTCGGGAAAGAAGAAGAAGTTACATATTTTAAAGATATGATTATTTTTAATACAATAACTTGTACATATTCAAATGGTTCAACTATTAATGGACCACTTTCTACAATTGGTTATACTGCAACATTATTACCAAATGGTACTATAATTTATATTGGAGGCGGAGTTCGGAACACAACTTCAAATGTTACTACTATTGTTCCAATTAATGATGTAATTTTATTAATATTTATTATCGTTTTTTGTTAATCATCAGTTATTAATTTATTTATTTTAAACAGATTGCCATGTATAATATAAATGAAGATTCTTGGAATTACACCGTAAATTATTTCATTAATTAAATTGCGAAAATTTTTTTTTAAAAATATTATTATTAAGATAGATAACAATAATGGATAATTGTACTTTTTATTTTTTATAGACTGCTAATTCTCAGAGTGATATTCAATCTCGACAATATCATTCAGCTGTTCTGAGTATGAATAATCTCTTTCTTTACAGTTAACTTTTTCTTTACAATTAATCTCTCTCCTTTTTTTTTTATTATAGCATCAGATGGCCTTATAATATGTTATGGAGGAGTTTCATTAGAAATAATAACTATAAGTCCTGCTCTTATAGTATTAAACACAACTTCACTTGAATGGCGTTCTCCAGAACATTTTGGCACGAATAAACCACCTGTACTTTTTACACATTCGGCAAATTTGGTTGATAATTACATGATAATTGGATTTGGTAAATTATTAATAAATTTATTTTAGAAATACGTAAAAATATGTAATTCATTCATTCATTCTTTAAAAATATTTTATTAATTAGAAAAAAAATATTTTCATAATTTTTATTTTTTGAATAGGAAATGATAGTTTAAAAAGCACTAGTTCAAGTATATATATACTTGATATAAAAAATTATACTTGGATTTCTTATTATGATCCACTATCGGTAGAAACTGTAATACAAGACCCATCTACACCTAAACCTCTTCCAGTAGTAGCAATTGTAGGAATAACTCTTGGTGTTGTAATTGTCTTGGGACTCCTATTATTCTTTGGAATACGTTGTTATAGAAATAATTGTCCCAATTTTTATATAGATGGATCTCAAAAATAGAATACTGTAATATTGCAGTGTTCTATCATCCTCAGGTTTGCAAAAAATAAGTCGTTGTTGGTTAGTGGAATACGTTCCAGAATTTCTTATTTTCAGTAGTAAAACTTCCAAAGTAATAGTCTTTCTTGTTAAATTTTTTACAAAAATCTGGTGACTGCTACTTCCTACAGTATTTATATTGCAAGTTACGAAAATCATCTTCTAACTTATTTTAAAAGAAGCATCAAAAATAGTTAATAATTCATTTAGTTTAATATTTATTTAAAATGCTTTAATATTTGGTCAAATTTATAAATTATAAGTTCTATTATGTTTATATCATTTCTATATTATTATTATTATTACAAAATATAAATTTTTTTAGGCAAAGAAGGAGAAAAAAATACACATTAATGATATGCATGCCTAATTATTAACTGTACTGCTCATTTTGAATCAGACTAAGTAACATTGAAAACTGTTTGTCCATAAATTGGTTATAAAATATATGAAAAATGTAAAAAATGTACATAAGGGTCGCTTTTTGTTCATTTAATGTACCTTTTTTTATTATTTTAATTTTAATATGTACATTATAATTTTTCATTTTCAAAAACTTTATTTGTTCATTTTATTTTCAAAAAAAAACGAAAAAAAAATGTGTACATAAAATGAACACCCCCCTCATTATTATTTTTATGTACAATAAATTATAATATTTGTTCATTTTAGTTAAAGCTTCGAACGGTCCCGGTTCGGTTTGCTCTTTTTATGAACCGAAATTTTCGGTTCGAGTCGGTTCCGTTTCGGGTTATATTAAAGGATCGAACAGAAAAACCTGAAACAGAACCGAACCGGTTTATAATAAATAAGTATAATTTCGGATATTTTATTGAGTGATTTTCGACCGCTTGGTGCAACAATCTTTTTTTTTTTGATTATCATTTTTTTTACATAATGGACGAAAATCCAAATGACAGTGAGTTGGAAGAAAATTCTCAAGAAATTGAGGATTCAACTACACCTACATTAGAAACAGGGATTATTAACTTGTCAGAAACTAGTAGTAGTATAACAGAAACCAATAATAATAGCACTAATACTAAAAATAAAAAACGTTCTACTGTTTACCAACATTTTACTCTAAATGAAAATAATGATGATAGTGATAATGTATAAATTTATAAACTTTATGATAATTAATGTAATAATTTTTTATAATAAAATTATTATTAATCTAATTTGATTTGTAAAGCAATACTCATTTATGAATTATTTTAACCGAAAAATTTCGGTTCGGGTTTTATTAAAAATTTTCGGTTCGGTTCAACAATAAAACCGTCCCAAACCGGACCGTTAGAAGCTTTAATTTTAGTATTTTAATTTATTATAATTAAATCTATGTGACAGTAAATTTTTATTGGCTGTAAAATGCTTATTTTTATTCGTTTTATACTTTATAAATGGCCAATAAAATATACTGCACAAAATATGTACATAAAATATACATATTTATTTTTAATATAAATTTTCTAAATTTAAATAATATATAAATCATATTAATTAGATGACTTTATTAAAATTATATTTATTATTCATTAACAATGGAGTAATTTTCTATTTAAAACTTGATTCTTTTCAGTGATCTTTATCTACAACATAATAAGTTCTATTGATTTTTAAAAATCTTACCCAATATAAATCAACAAATTCACGTTGTCCATAATCCTGAAATGAAAGAAGCGATATTTGTCGTTATCTAACTTTTTTTACTTTGCTCGCGAATTACGCGACGGGCAATTTTCTACTAAGTTATTCCTATAATTGATAGAGCGCCTTGTTCAGGGCTAAAAATGTCTGCTGATTACGAAAGTCTCCTATTTCAGATCAGGTGATGCTCCTTTTAGCCAATTATAATTCAGTAGATTTTTTTCGAAAATAATATTTTATTAAGTCTGGACTCTATGCTGTACAAAATTTTGCATATATTTATATTTTAAAAAAATATTTTATTAAATAAATATAGTTTTAACGTAACTAGACTACTAATATGTAACTGAAAACCATCAGCCCACCACCCTACTTAACGAAAACTCATATTATTTTTTACTTCAGATATTATTTCAAATTCTATATGAATTAATTAGATATCCATCTCATTATTGGATCAGCGCGTCATCGGGGCTGTAGCTGAGCTGATAATCAAATGGCTTTTAAATTCTTTGATTTAGCTACCAAATAATTGGTATAAAAAACACCTCCTCAAATCTTTCAATAAGAAAAATTTACAATATTAACAAGATTTATCTTGCATATATGTATAGATATTGAGTAGATTTGAAAAAAGGAATTATAAAGTTGCAGATGAAGGGTTCCATATAGCTTTAAATTGTATGACGTATTTATTAGAATATATTTGTGTTGAAATGTTAAAAAACCATTAAAATTATATTTAAAATCTAAACAAAAAGGAAATCTCGTAGCAAAATCAAATATTTGTTTTTGTTGTGAAAAT